ACACACTATGATGCCAACTGCAGGAAGAAAGCCAAATCAGTGGATGTGTAAACATCTCAGCACTGGCAGAGGTCTCCACGCGGCTGCTCCAGCACCCAGGGCTGCATCAGGGTAGGTCCATGTGGCTTCTCCTCAGGGATGTCTTGCAGGAAGTGATCCTTGCCAGCTAAAGCAGAGAACTGGCTAAGGCAGCTGCACCCTAGTCTGACCATCAGAAAGCAAGAGACCCAAGAACTAGAAAGGTGAAGTTCACTGAGTCATTTATCCCTCCGCCCTTCATTTAATCCCACATGTGTTTATCGGCCAGGTTGGCACAAAAAGTAACTACCTCAATAAGTCTTCCTCCAAGCCTGATACCACATTTCTCTTCACATAACTCAGCTTCTCTGATTATTTGCTCAGCAAACTGATTGAATAAATAGAGTGGATACAGCCCTGATGCACAGCTTTCTTGATTTAAAACCATACCGCATGCCCTTGTTCTGTTCAAACAACCCTTTGTTGTTCCATGTACAGGTTCCACAGAAGCACAATGAAGTGTTCTGGGACTCCCGTTCTTCTCAAGGCTATCCATAGTTGATGCCTTTGCAGAGTCAATAAACCCCAACATCTTTCTGGTGTTCTCTGCTTTCAACCAAGCCCCAGCTGACATCAGCAACGATATTCCTTGTTCCAGATCCTCTTCTGAATCGAGCCTGAATCTTAGTTAACATACTGCTGTCCACGAGAGCTAAAGCACAACCTTGACTATATTCCGCCCAAATTTAGAGACCATCTCAAGAACAGAGGCCCTGGTGGCTTAGTGGGTTATGTGTTTGGCTGCTAACCTCGAGCAGTTCAAAACAGTCAGTGCTTTGTGGGAGAAAGACAAGGCTTTCTGGAGCAGCTTGGTGAGAGAAAGACAAGACTTTCTGCTTCTGTAAAGATTTAGTCTCAGAAACCCATGCAGGCAGATCTACTCTGCCCTATAGGGTCACTATAAATCAGAATTGACAAGATGACAGTGAGCTAGCTAAAGGAAAAGGAGAAAAGACAAAGTAAAAGAGCTGTACAGATGTATGATGGTTGGATCAGAAAAAGAAAAATTTAAGTGTCTAGGCTGACATAAAACTAAAACTGAAACACACACACACCACCCCCCTGAACTACAAGTCTGTTCAGCTGTAGATTCCAAGCTTGCAAATATTAGTGGCAAGGTGGGGTCTAGGTGGCATACAGGGCATCACTCACTCTCACTGCCATCGAGTCGATGCCAACTCATAGCGACCCTAAAGGGCAGGGCAGAACTGCCCCTGTGCATTTCCAAGACTGTAACTCTTGACGGGAGTAGAAAGCCCGTCCATCTCAGGCGGAGGTCTCAAACTACTGAACTTGCTCATCAGAGCCCAATTTGTAACCACTAGGCTACCAGGGCTCCTCAAGGGGGGCGGGGTGCATGCCGATCAAAAAAAAAGGGAGACTGTTGCAGAAGGGAATGCGCAAACATCAATCCATTTCAGTATGGACATCTGCTCAGTTTGTCGTAGGTTGCGGGGACGTTCCTGGGCGTTGGTTACTTGCCAAAAGACCCCAAACCTGAGGCTAGCCAGACAGCCCTGACATGAATTTCCTCGGAGACCAGGAAGTGAACATAAACGCTCATCTTTTAAAACCAGGCTGCCCGTGGCGCGGACAACGGCCGCGCTACAAACGCGAAATGGGGTTAAAAGGCATTTCTCAGACAGGCGGCGGGAAATCGAGCGGCCCGCCGGGAGAGGGGCCCGTGAGAGCCCAGGCGCGCGCGGCGCGGCGCGGGACACGTCCACCTTCCAACCCGCAGAACATGCCAGAACGTCCATTAGGACAGAACAGTCCCGCTCTCACACACTCGAACCCTCCCCGGGGCCCAGCCCCACGCCGGGACGACGCCCCAAGCCCGGGGCTCCCTCACCTCCACCTCACCGCCGCGGCAAACTTCCGAACTGCCCGCTCACCCGAACGCAGCTCAACTTCCGTCGCCCGGGGCAACAGGTCCCGCCCCGCGCTCTTACTTCCGCCCCCGGGAACCCGCGGGCGGGCGGTACCATGAAGGCTAATGGGGCGGGGGGAGCCTTGGGAGTTTTCGGACGTTCCCATTTGGTCGCAGGGAGGTGCGACCCGGCGGAGCGCCCTTAAGGGACCACAAAGTGAGCAGGGGCGGGATAAGCAACTTGTCTTCACCCTGTTGCTCAAAGTCAAGGCGAAAGGGGCCAAGTCCAGTTTGGGGATTGGAATCATTTGGAAAGCAGAGGCGAGTTTTACTCCACCTGTGCCAGTGGGACAATACTGTAATCAGAGGCTTAACGGAGAATAATGAGAGGCAAACGATGAAATCAAGCCCCTGGACAAACACTGGACACCTTTTAAGATACTGTTACCATCATATCAACTCCAAAATACAAGTCAAGCACGTTATGCTTTCAATGAACACATCAAGGCAAAACTTGAAATAGGACTTCCCTTGTTTTCTTTTTTAAATCATTTTATTGGGGGCTCATACAACTCTTATCACAATCCATACATGCATCCAATTGTGTCAAGCACATTTGTACATTCGTTGCCCTCATCATTCTCAAAACATTTGCTCTCCACGTCAGCCCCTGGCATCAGTTCCTCATTTTTCCCCCTCCCTCCCTGCTCCCCTCTCCCTCATGAACCCTTGATAATTTATAAATTATTATTTTGTCATGTCTTACACTGTCCGACGTCTCCCTTCACCCACTTTTCTGTTGTCCGTCCCCCAGGGAGGAGGTTATATGTAGAATAGATCCTTATAATCGGTTCCCCCTTTCCACCCCACCCTCCCTCCACCCTCCCGGTATCGCCACTCTCACCACTGGTCCTGAAGGGGTCATCCGTCTTGGATTCCCTGTGTTTCCAGTTCCTATCTGTACCAGTGTACATCCTCTGGTCTAGCCAGATTTGTAAGGTAGAATTGGGATCATGATGGTGGGGGACACGGGGGAGGAAGCATTTAGGAACTAGAGGAAAGTTGTATGTTTCATTGTTGCTACACTGCACCCTGACTGGCTTGTCTCCTCCCAGCGACCCTTCTGTAAGGGGATGTCCGATTGCCTACAGTAGGGCAATACAGGCAATCTGGCCACAGACAGCAAACAGCAGCAGGGCAGGTCACCAACGGTCAGCCAGATGACAGGGTCCAACAGTCCCCAGTTCAAGTGATGTATACACCAGCAGTGTGGTGAAGCAGGTCTCAAAGGAACCTCAAACTACAGCGACACAGTCCATGGGTTGGGTGTCCCACAGGTAGTGTGGTTCTTAAGTTGAGGCAGAGAACTAGCTAAGGTAGCCACATGCTGGTCTGATCATCAGAGAGCAAGAGACAGAAAGACAAAGATCACCTAGCCACTTATCTCTTTGTCCTTCAATTAAACTGATACCTTAATAACCCCACATGTGCTTATTGGCCAGGTTGGCACAATAATCCCACCTATCACAGTGGGGGTCACCCCTTATTACATGGATGTACCATTAGCACAAATACATGTTACATTTGCAAAGGAAAAGAGGATCAAACTGTCTGGGCTTTTAATAACAACAGCGTTTCCTACCTGGCACGGGCTTCCTTCATAAGTGTCACATTTTATCTACATAATTCAAGACCTAGACTCTACGCGTGGTACATACACAGTAGTGATGTACAGATTCTAGAAAATATGATTAAAAATAGGTTGACAGTAGTGAAACTAAATGTTCTTCAAGACCTATTGTTGTAGACATTGGGTCATTTTGGGAAATTAGCTCTGTGTAATGAGCTTCAAGAAGCAGGAGCTATGAGTCTAACTAGAGGCTACGTCTTATAATTTAATGACTCTGTAACCAGCTAACCCTGAAACGTTACTTGTGCTTTCCTGTATAGCCGGAGAAACTAATTAACAGGGGCCTAAGGACAAATGCTCTTCTGCTAAACATCTTTCCAGGCTTTTGTTTCATCTTAAGGTAACACCTGGGAGCCTGTTCCTTAAATCCTTATGGTACAAAAGGACATCTAAGAGCAGACGGCCTGGGTGGACCACCTCCCTTCCATGAACCCTGAAGTGTGGATTCCAGGGGATGAAAATGGCTTTGACACTGGGGCCAGGCTCTTCCTGGCCTCTCCCAGCTTCCTCAGCTGCAGCACTCCCATCGGTGCCCCAGCCCACCCCGCCTTCCCTTTGTGCGTCCACCTCAAGATGCTCCCTGCCTGCTTCTTTTAAGGCCACATGCGATGATAACGGGACCCACACAAATAATCCAGAGTTGTAACAGTCTCCTCTCAGGAGGTTTCATTTCTTCACATATTTTTCCCGATTGGGAATTTGACCTGGTTGATTTGGGGAGAGGGGGGAATTCATTTTTCAGCCTACCATACAGGCATTGAGACTTTCCAAAGGAAAGGTATAGTCTGCAGCATTTCTCAAACTTAATGTAAAAACAACCTTAATTTCTCTCGCTCTCTAGCATTTTCTAGGATGGCTGGGAAGCTTTGTTGGATCACATCACTTGTCCTTGTGATTTCATATCGCCATGTAGAAGTGTCTCCTGTGAGCGTTCCTAAGACAGAAGCCAGGTTCATCCACCTGCGCAGCTGCAGTGCATAGCAGCTATTGTTGTTAGCTGCGATTGAATGAGCCCTGATGTAGCACAAAGAAAGGCAACATGGCCTGGTCCAGGTCCATGCACATGAGCAGTTGCAGGTCAAATGTTGAGCTCCATAAGGGTTCTGTTGACTGTGTGTTGGAAGTGAAAGACCAGGCCTTTCTTCTTAGTTCATTTTCTGAAATCTTCTCAGCATCAATGCAACACTCAAACGTCCGCTGGCAGATGGAAAGCAACTGCACATGAAGTGCACTGGGTGGGAATCTAGAGCAGGTCTCCTGCATAGAAAGTGAAAACCCCACTACTAAACCACCAATGCCCTCTGACACAGAGTAGTTACGCAATAGAGTGGCTGAAAGAATGTGCAGAAAGAAAAGGTGGAAGAGGAGAAAGTGGAGAAACAGGAGATAGGAAGTTTCTTGGCCAGAAAATGGTAAAAAGCAAATTCTTTTCTGTTAAAAGATTTTTTTCCATGAAATACCCAACTGCTATCTAGATTCTAACATAAACATTTTACTACGTTGATTTATCACATCATCCATGTCTCTGAAAGAGCCCTGGTAGTGCTATGGTTAAGGACTCAGCCTCTAACCCAAAGGTTGGAAGTTTAAACCTACCCAGGTTCCACGGTATCGAGGCCTGTCCACCTACTTCCGTACAGAGCACAGTCACACCAAGGTCAACTGGCAAAACCTAGTCCACAAAGGCAGTGTTCTACCGCGCACTGCGGTCAGGAGTAACTGAGGTCTTAGAAACTGGCCAACGGTTCACCAAAGCCCCTGGCCTGCAGGCATCCACCAAACATCCTCCCTACAGCCAAATGCCCAAGGAAGGTCAGTTCTGCCAGCGCAAGAGGCAGTGGAGGAGGAGCCCAAGAGGCGATCCACCGTGTGGTGCTCAAAGCCTGCGCCTGCAAAAGTGGAGCGCAAGCCAACAAAGGCCACAGAAAGGATAAATCTTCAGATTAAAAAAAGTGCAAAGCAAAAAAGGAAAAGGGGAGCAAGGGGAAAACAGGTGGAAGTAGTTAACCAAGAAACTAAAGAAAATGGAGAGGTGAAAAACGAGGAGAGCCCAGCCTCTGATGAAGCAGGAGAAAAAGAAGCCAGGTCTGATGACTGCTTATCTGCCATGTCTTATCAGTGGGCCCTGCATCTCCCTTCTTGTAAATCAGAGGAAGAGTTTTATCTACTATTTTGAAGATAAAATAGTAGATAAATACAAGTTTTATAGTAGCTCTAGAAACATTCTTAAGGAGAAAATCCCACTTCATCTCACTTTTTTAATGTAAAATTTTTTTTTAAGATGTGAAATCATAATTTACTGGTTGTTTATTTTTTGGCATAACTAGGAAATAGTAGGATGTTGAATTATGGAACCATTAGACGGTCTTGGGTGTTAATGTAACGTTCTATGGGATAGGGGATAGTTTTCGTATCCATAATACAAAACATTTTCTACTTCTGTACAGAGTCACAGTTTCAGGACCCCACAGGTGCAGTTCTACCCTGTCTGTGTTAGGCAGGGTTCTCTAGAGAAACAAAACCATGACACTTATGATTATATATATATATAATAGGTTTATACAGCGAGAAAGAATATAATGGCTAATTAATCCATACAGCAGTACAGCAGACTCAGTTCAACTCACTTTTGCGGAACAGTTAATATACTGAAAGTCCTCCAACTCACTTGGGCTGCTGGTCCAAGGTTCAAGGAAGCAGACAACAGAGTCTTCCCTCAGTTAAGACAGACAGAGTCAGCCCTGCCAGCAGCAGCAGCAGAGTGGGGCAGCTTATCTAAGCAGGCCCTGATGTGATCTTAAACTCAAGCAATGTGTGCAAGGCAACGTGATCCAACAGCCTCCAGCTCAAACAATGTCCACACCAGCAGTGTAGTGAAGGAGGTTTCAAAGGAGCCTCAAGCTCTAGCAACAGGATCCATGAGTTGGCTTGGCCTACAGGTAGTGCAGCACAGGGTTAAGGCCAAGAACTAGCTCAAGCAGTAGCATGCTGGTCTGATCACCAGGGAGGAAGCGATATGGGATGCTGGCCAAGGAAAATATTTGACCTGATGAAACTCTACCCACATATTCCTATCGAGGCCTGGTTGGCACAATAAACCCCAGTGAGGTTTTTTTTTTAATTGTTTTAGTGAGAATACAAAACATACTTAATAGCAATTTGGAGTCACTATCATGCATTTGTATGACTTGAACATTTGAAATGGTTTCTATGTTGTTTTATAGTATAATGCAATAGAACTAAAACCATTCCCTCATCCCTTGTCATTGCTTTTTCTGTCAGAACTGTGTGTTTTCTGTAACACACAGGGTTACTACGAGTCAGAATTGACTTGCATGATGTGA